CTGCGTAGTATTCCATCGTGTATATGTACCACATTTTTAAAATCCAGTCCTCTTTTGATGGGCAGCATAGATTTCCCTCCTTTTTAATCATTCTTTTCTAGTCCTTCTTTTCCTCAGCATGCACTCATACATACAAATACACACATGCCATAATAGATGATTTTTCATGATGAATGAGTATTTTGAGGTAATGTTAGGGGCTTCTTTTCAACAATAAACTTTGTTTTCTTAACCAAGTGATTTTTTCGAGTTGGGTTCTCATTCTGTGGCCCGGATCGGAGTACAGTAGCAAGATCATGGCTCTCTGCAGCCTCTACTTCTTATTCTCAGGTGATCCACCTCAACCTCCTGAGTAACTTGGACTACAAGTGTATACCACTACACTGTTTTAAAAAAAAAAAACAAAAAACAAAAACTTTTGTAGAGATGAGATCTCACTCTGTTGCCCAGACTGGTCTCAAACACATGCGCTCAAGCGATCCTCCTATCTTGGTCTCACAAGGTCTAGGATTACAGGTGTGAGCCACCACACGAGGACTTAACCAAGTGATTTTTAACATAATACAAGAGAAAGGAAAAAGAAATAAGAAGTTCTGTTGGTGGGAGAGGAATTAGCACAATATTTTGGAGGGTAATTTGGAAATATTTATCATATTCTTTTTTAAAAAAATTATTTTGAAGATGTGGAGTATAATTCAGGGTTAGGTATACAAATGTTCATTATACAGATACCCTCGTTGATGAGATGTGCCCCGGCACTTTCCCACTGCTGCCAATCCTTTCTTATAATATTATGATAATTGTTCAAGGTCTGCTTATGAGTGAGAACATATGGTACTTAGTACTTTGTTTCTGTGATACATCATTCAGTATTATAGACTCTTAAGTCCATCCAAGTTGATGCACTCATAATTTTGTCCTTCTTTATGGCTGTGTAATATTCCATCATGTATATGTAGCACATTTTTTTCCAGTCCTCCTTCTATAGACAGCACAGTTGGTTCCATGTTTTTGCTATTGTAAATAATGCTGCAGGAAACATATGTGTGCAGGTATCTTTTTAATAGGGTGATTTGAGTTTCTCTAGGTACATTTCCAGTAGGAAAATTGTGGGGTCATATGGAAGGTCAATTTTTAGATCTTTTAGGAACTGCCAAACTGTTTTCCACAGAGGTTGCACTAGTTTACACTCCCACCAACAGTGCGGCAGTGTTTCCTTTTCCCCACATCCTCCCCAGCATCTACTGTTTTTTAAGTTATTGATGATGGCCAACCTGACTGGTGTTAGGTAGCATCTCGGTGTGGTTTTAATTTGCATTTCTTTGATGACTAGTGTGGCTGAGCATTTTTTCATGTATCTATTGGCTGCTTATATGTCTTCTTTTGAGAAGTATCTATTGATATACTTAAGCATTTTAAATAAGAAATAACTGTTCAGCCAGGCTTGGTGGCTCAGCCTGTAATCCTGTGCTTTGGGAGGCTGAGGTGAGTGATTGCCTGAGTCCGTGGGTTCAAGACCCTCCTGGGCAACTTGGTGAGACCTCATCTCTACAATAAATCAAAAAATGAGCCAGGCATGGTAGCATGCACCTGTAGTTCCATCTACTTGGAAGGCTGAGGCAGAAGGATCGCCGGTGCCCAGCGGGTCAAGGCTGCAGTGGCCAGGAGCAGTCACTGCACTCCAGTCTGGGCAACAGAGTGAGACTACAACTCAAAAAAAAGAAAAAAAAAGGAAAAAAAAATAAATAAATGACTGTTCATTTTTTGATGTGCTCATGGTATAGTGATCATATTTTGAAAGTCTTATCTCTTAGAGATTCATATGGATGATAATATTAGCAGATGAAATAATATAATGTTGGGAAACTGCTTTGCAATGCAGAAGTGGTAAGATTAGAAAAGTAGGTAGAGATATAGATGACTGATCATTAATTGATTATTTTCAAAGCTGTTTGAGGAATACATGGAAGCTCATATACTACTCACAAAGATATCAGAGATATGTTCAAGAATGTTTATTTATTGTTTATAGCAGCAAAAACAAAGTGGAAATGACATAAATTCCCCTCAATAGGAGACTAGTTAAATAAATTACAGCATATTCAAAAGTGAAACTAAATGCAGCTGTTAAAAGAACAAGATATACCTATATGTGCTTACATGATATTATATCCCAGATAATAGTTTTAAGTGGGACAGCCAAGGTACAGGACAGAACATCATATGATTCTTTTTTATAGTTGTATAGTCATAAAATGTTTTGGAAACACATATAAGGAATTGTTAATCATGAGACTGAAAATTTTACAGTTAAAAAAGAGGGATTTAAGTTAACTTATATTTTTACTTTTCATTTTGTTAGTCTCTTTCAATATTTTATCATATTACTTTAAAAATTAAAGATAAATTGTGGGGTGAGCTTATGTAAAATGCAGTCATATGTCACTCAACAATGAGGATTTTTTTTGAGAAATGTATCATTAGGTGATTTTGTCCTTGTGCAAACATAATAGAGTATATTTATACAAACCTAGAGGACTTAGCTGACTACACACCTAGGCTTCAACCTGTACAGCGTGCTACTGTACTGAATATTGTCGGCAATTGTAACACAATGATAAGTATTTGTATATCTAAATAAATTGAAACAGAAAAGTTTCAGTAAAACTCTTATATGAAAGATAAAAGGTGGTACACCTGTGTAGGACAGCTCAATTGTAATTTTATAGGACCATTGTTGTATGTGTGGTTTGTCTTTGATCAAAACATTGTTATGCAGCACAAGACTATGTATGCCAGATTTAATTATTAGACCTTCAAGTATTAAGTGGTCTGTATTTTCATTAGTTTCATACTCTTGGTAAAAGAATTGAAATAACAGCATTGATTCTATTTCTTCCACAGAAAATGATAGAAACCAGTGGAAAGAACAATATACTGGATATTCAGTTGGAAAAGACGAACTGTTTATTAAAAGTAATGCAAACAAAGGAGGTCTCAATTAAAGAAGGTTAGTTCTTTGCTGGCTGAGGAATACTAATTCTAATGAGAACGCTTTTTAGTACAACACTGAATAATATCACACTATACATTTTAAAGTATTAAATCCACATAGAATGTCCCAGTGTATCATCTCATTTTATCCTTATTATAGCCCTAAAAGACAAATAGGACTGGTATTATTTTTCTACCTCTCTAATGAAGAAACATAGAATGAAATAAGTTAAATAATCTGTCTATGGCTACTCAGTCAAGAAATGGCATATCAAAGACTCAATATAGGCCCATAAAACCATGGAAAACAGTAAAGTTGAATTCCTACCTCATAATTACATCAAAGTAAATTATATATGGGTCAAAAATTTCAATGTTAAAAATTAAGTCATACAAATGTATTTTCTTGCTCTGTCAACTGAGAGGGCCTAGAAACAACAATATCCTAGTAGCACTAAGCATACCTGAGGTCCGATCTTGGTTTCCAATATCATTCTCTAATAAAAGAAGTCAGGGTTCTTTGGAGAAATGGCTGATCCTAGGACTAGGGAAAAAAATATATAAGATAAGCCTGAAGCATCTTGTAATACCAAAAAAAAAATAAGAAAATTGTCAAAAAAACAAAAACAAAAAACAGACCAATGATGATGGGAATATGTCAAAGGTGACATAAGAACCAAAGGAAAGAACTCTCATTGACCAATGCTGGAACAATGTGAGCAAGAAAATAATGTTAGATTATAACCAAAAGTATAAAATAAATATCCACAAGTACATACTGATATAAATAAATGATTAATAAATAAATGAGGAAAAGGAGACAAATCTCTTGAGCAAAAGAATTCTAAATGACTTATGTAGGTATTTGCCCTTGAGCAGAAAGAACATGACTCCACACTCATTAAGTGTGGGCTCAGTATAGTGACTTTCTTCACTACATTGAAGAATACAATGTGGAAAGGGTGAAAGTGGGAAAGGTAGCTACAGAGTAGAGAAACCTGACAAATACTACCTTAGCCACATAGTCAAGGTCAACATCAAAAATGATATTGGCTGAGAGGATGCAGTGGCTCAAGCCTGTAAGCCCAGAGCTTTGGGAGGCTAAGGTGAGAAGATTGCATGAGCCTGGGCAACACAATGACCTCATCTCTACAAAAAATAAAAATAAAAATAAATTAGCTGGGCATGGAGGTGTACATCTTTAGTTCTAACTACTTGGGAAGCTGAGGCAGGAGGGTCACTTGAGTCCAGGAGTTTGAGGTTACAATGAGTTATGATTATAGCACTGCACTCCAGCCTGGGGAATAGAGGGAGACCTTGTCTCTGAAGAAAAAAAAAAAAAGGAAGAAAGGAATCACTTTTATAGGACAAAAATCCCCCCAAATCCCCAAATGCACCACATATCCCTCCTTCCCCTTCTGCCCCGAATGCCTGGCAACTGCTGATCTTTTTACTATCTTTATAGTTTTTGTCTTTTCCAGAATGTCATATAGTTGGAATCATACAATATGTAGTCTTTTCAAATAAACTCTTTTTACTTAGCAATATGCACTTAATTTTCCTTCATTTTTTTTGTTGTTTAATGGCACAATTCTTTTTTTATTATATTATCCTGTAGAGGTACCACACTTTGTTTATCCATTCATCTATTATAGGATAACTTGATTGCATGCAAATTTTGGCTATTATGAGTAAAACTGCTATGATATCCATATACAGATTTTTATGTAGACGTAAGTTTCTTTTTTTTTTTTTTTTTTTGAGTTGGGATCTCACTCTGTCGCCCAGACTGGAGTGCAGTGCAGTGGCCGCTCCCTGCCACTGCAGCCTCGACTTGCTGGACTCTGGCGATCCTTCCGCCTCAGCCTTCCGAATAGCCGGAATTACAGGCACGACTGATTTTTTAATTTATTGTAGAGATGAGGTCTCGCCAAGTTGCCCAGGCGGGTCTTGAAACCGTGGGCTCAGGAAATCCACTCACCTCAGCCTCCCAAAGCGCAGGATTACAGGCTGAGCCACCGAGCCCTGCTAGATGTAAGTTTCAATTTATTTTGGGTAAATTCCAGGGAGCATGGTTGTTGCATCATAGGGTAAGAGTGTGTTTAGTTTTGTTAGAAGATGTTAAACTGTCTTCCAATGTGGCTGTATCATTTTGTCTTTCCACCAACTATGAATGAGAGTTTCCATTGCTCCACATCCTTGCCAGAACTGATGTTGTCAGTGTGTTGGATTTTGACCATTTTAATTGGTGTGTTGTGGTACCTCGTTGTTTTAATTTGTAATTCCCTAATGTCAAATATCTTGTTATATGCTTATTTTCCATCTATATATCTTCTTTGGTGAGATATCAGTTCAGAGTCTTTTACCCATTTTTTAATTGGGTTGTTTGTTTTCTTATGGTTGATTTTTAAGAGTTATAATATACTTTGGATAGCAGTCCATTAACTGATTTGCTTGACAAAGCATGATGGGAAACTCTACATGGCAAAATAAAAAAACAACAACAACAACAATTAAAATAGTAAAATGATTGCAACTCAACTCATAGACAGGTTAATGAGAAAAAGACCACTAACAATAGACAAATAGATAGTAGGTCACAGAAAATGAAAGTCAAGTGACTTATAAACATTTGAAAATATGCTTTAGCTCTCTCATATCTTAAAAATTTTATATGAAATTCCATTTTTTTGCATCAGGTTAAATCATCAGAAAGTTTATTATTTTATTGGCAAGGATGTAGAGAAACAGTCATTCTTACATATTGCTAGTTAGGGAGTAAAACCTCTGTGGAAAATACATTGGCAATATCTGGCAAAACTGAAAATTCACATATCCTTTGACTTAATCATTATACTTCTAGAATATATCATAAAGATATATTTTTACATGTTCAAAATGATGGATATATTTGTTGCTATATTTTTGTAAAAGAAAAAAGGAAACAATGGAAACTGTCCATCAGTGGAAATCTTGTTAAAGAACATATATGTTAATTTAATGAAATATTATGCAGCTGATATAAAGAATGAAGTAGTTTTATATATCATAGAGTAATCTCTAAGACACAGTAAATGAAAACAGAAATACGGGTAGTTGTTTCTTTGTTTTGAGATCACTTTGAACTAACAGGGTTGAAAGTCCTCTGCCATTTCTGTCCATTTTGGAGTCTCACTGAAGTCTAGTATTTTAATTTCTTTATTCCCCAACTCCTCACTCCTGAGCATCTTCTGCCTCTAGCCCCCTTAGGTTTCTTTTTCTCGTTAAGCCTTAATTTCTATGGCCAGTCACTTGCAAACCTCTTTTACAAGCCTTAATTTCTATGGCCAGTCACTTGCAAACCTCTTTTACAAACACTCACAATTTTTGCACACCCTTGTTCTGCTTGACATTGTACAAATAATCAACCTGTCTACCAATTCTCCAGTTAAGAGACTGAGCACTGTTGGAGGGTAAAGTCTAAGCCGTGTACGGTGGCTCAATTCTGTAATCCCAATGCTTTGGGAAGCCAAGGTGAGAGATGAACTTGAAACCAGCCTAGGGCAGCAGAGTGAGACATCATCGATTAAATAAACAAACAAACAAATAAATAAGCTGGGTAGGGTGGCTTGGACATATAGTCTTAGCTACTTAGGAGGTTGAAGTGGGAAGACCACTTGAGTCCAGGTGCTCAAGACTGCAATGAGTTATGGTTGCTCCTTGTGGCACTGCAGCATGGATGACAAAGTAGACCCTGTCTCTACAAAACAAAAACCAAAAAAAAAAAAAAAAAAAAAAAGAGCTTAATATTCTGCTCTGGTTTGTAGAAAGGGCTTGTTAGGAAAAAAATTCTTCAAATTACATAGTAAAGTCCACAAAAAAAAGTGGATTAAGGTTTGCAGCGAATATTAAAAGTCGTTATTCAAGATGTATGAATGGTACTCTACCTTATGAAGAATTTATCAAGGCAGTTTCCCTTATAGAAAAATGTGGTGAGACAGCCACCTTGTGTTCAAATTACACATTTCTGAAACAAAATATTCTCAGTTGCAGGGCTCTGTTTTGAATTTGCTGATTACTGAGTAACTTCAGTTACTATATTTTATGAATCCCTGGATTCATTACTCTAAAAGGAACAAGGACAAGTGATGGCAGAGTCTTTGCCTCTTTAACGTTTTAATTGTGGCAGCTAACGCAGTATTATACATGGAGCAGGTTCTTAGCTAATGTCCATCAAATGTAATTTAACCCTCTCTTACTGGGAAATAACAAGTTAGAGAAAATGAAGGATGACGAGAACTTTGTCTGAGTGGGTTGTGGGAATGGTAGGGAGGACAGGGAGGAGTGAAGAACCACAATAGTAGAACCTTATATCTTCACAAAACGTATAGCTTTTACAAAATACTTCCATTTATATCAGGATAGTTGAAGAACATACATAAGACTAAGTGCAGAACCTCTAATTGAAAGGTGAGAAGTTTTGGATTCTCCCTTTACATTACTGGTTCTTTTATTCAGTCAATAACATATGTGTTATTTTCAGACTAGAGCTTCTCCACTTACCCCTTTCCTGCTCCTGCCTGCTGTGATATTACCTATATAACCATCAATCACTCAACAAATATTTGTGGATTGCCTACTATGGACCACAACTGTTCTAAATGTTCAGAAGCAATGATAAGCAAAACAAAAAATAGTCCCTGCTATTGTGGCACTTATAGCTAAGTGGACTGCTGAAGACACAGCAGTTTCCCTACTGTTGCCACCCATCGTGACTGTTGCTGGTGGTAACTAATAGTATAATCAAGGCTTAGACGCACATGTCAGGACTCTAACATTTACTATGAAGGTTCTGTCTCCCACTGTGTAAAAATCAATTAGCAGCAAAGTTGCTGATGCCTTGGAACACTACTCACTGAGTTTTAACTTCTTTTATTGCTAATCTCTTGTGCTAAGACTCAAGCATGAGTACTGAGAGGACAGGCTGAAGGACCATGAAAAGCATTGTTTTATACCTTCTCACAAGCTCTGGTGCTCTGTCTTTAAATAAAACAATATAATTTGACTCTCTCTCCTAAGGATGTTTTTTCATATGGACACACCATGTTTGAGTATGTCGGTGTTTGAGTATGGACACACTCCTCCTAGTTTCCCAGGTGCTCCTTATTTCTAGGGCAGTGATTGCATAGGCACATGGGAGAATCCCTGCTGTACTGTGCCTTAGAAAACTCAAACTACCAACAAATGTATGAAAAAATGCTGAACATGACTAACTGTAGGGGAAATTCAAATTAAAACTACAGCGAGACACCACCTTATGCCAGTGAGAATGGCCATTGTTTAAAAAATAAAAACAAAAACAATCGTTGCTGGTGTGGATGTGGAGAAAAGGGACTACATACACACTAGTGGTGGGAGTTTAATTAGTTCAACCTCTATAGAAATTAATATGGAGATTTCTCAAAGAACTAAAAGTAGGTCTACCATATGACCCAGCAACCCCACTACTAGGTGTCTACCCAAAGGAACAAAGTTTGCTATTTTAAAAAGACACCTGCACCCGTATGTTCACCACAATACAATTCACAGCTGCAAAGATGTGGAATCAACTTAAATGTCCAACAACCTGATCAACGGATAATGAAAATGTGGTATTTATACACTGTGGAATATTACCCAGCTATCAAAAAGAATGAAATAATGTCTTTTGCAGCAACTTGAACAGAATTGGAGAATATTATCCTAAGCAAACTAACTCAGGAACAGAAAACCAAATACTGTACATTCTCACTTACAAGTGGGGACTAAACTAAGGATCTGCAAAAGCACAGGGAATGATATAATGGACATTGGAGACTTAGAAGGGGAAGAGGTGGAGAGAAGAAAAATTACCTATTGGGTTCAATGTGCACAGGTAGGGGTGGTAGGTACACTTAAAGTCCAGACTTCTTTGCCACTACACAGTGCTATCATGTAACCAAAAACTATCTGTACCACCTAAAGCTATTGAAATTAAAAAAAAAAAGTCAGGTAATAAAAAAGAAACTCATTACTAAGTTTTGAAATTCATTTGACTTAAAGGGTGATTAAAAGGTATATATTATATAATTTACTTTGAGATGTCTAGTTTTATTAAGCTCTTCTAATTGTCAATTAAATATTAGTATTATTTTTGGAGACAGGATCTTGTTCTGTCACCCAAACTAGAGTGTAGTGGAGTGACCATAGCTCACTGCAGGCTCGAACTACTAGCTCAAGTGATCCTCCTGCCTCAGCCTCCAGAGTAGATGAGACCAGAGTAGATGAGAAATATTATTATATTTTAATTATTTCAACTGAGAGAATAATTCCAAAATGAAGGCAAGAGATTTTCAAGTAAACTGATCTTCTTTGTTTTAGAATGTGCTACTCTTCATAATATAATAAAAGGATTACAACAGACCATTGAATATCAACAGAATTTGAAAGGTAAGAAAAAAAGTAAAGTCAAAAAAAGCATAATTTATTTGAGCATCTTTAAAAATAGAATTTTTACATTGTTAATTATAGGTTCATTTAATTAATTTTCTATTTATCAGATAAAGGCAAGGCCTCTTACTATAATACTTAAAATTACTTTCCTAAATAATTATGGAATAGCAAATACTATACTGAACAGAACAATTCAGTCATATTTATATCAGACAGGGACATAAAGGGTTGTCTTATAATGTCATAATGGTTCTTTTTATTGCTTTCAAATGCTTAGAAATATATTCTCATTGGCACTCTTGGTCTTTAATAACCCTGTATTCAGTTTTGAAGCATCACTAGATGAGCCATGAATATTTTATTCAAATCACAGTGATAGTTTATCAGTTAATTTTCCACCATAGACTATGTTTGTGCAAGTGAAGCCAATATATTCAGCTTATCTCATTTTTAATAATTAAATTTACCCAACAGGCCTACTATTCACAAAACAGAGCAACCTATTGTATTGTTTTGTGCTGTTTCAATTCACCTGTGTGATGGCTGTGAGATCATCTTGTACTATATTAGAGACTAAATTGTCTTAAAGGCCCCTTCCTACATAAAACTCACATCAAATAAGATTTTCTCATCTCAGGCCTCTGTCTTTGTAATAAAGCACCTTACATCTGTAAGTGAGATAGAATATTGATCTTATATGTCATTGCTTTAATTTGGCATGATTTTTTAAATGGGGCTTTCATGTTCCTGTCTCAATTCTTAGGACTCAGAACAACTTTTCTGTTTTTTGTGACTAAGATACAACCCCCAGATGGATTAGATAAATATATGGAGACTCAATCCTTTCCAGTCTCTTATTTTAGGATTCAAATAGTATTTAATTTACCACTTCTTAGGATTTTTGTTTAAGCAAAACATCTATTAGAGATTAAAATTAAATACTGTGAAGTTCTAGGTCATCATAATGAATATATTAAATATTTTTTTATAAAAAAGATATGAAATTTTTATCATGTGAGAATATATACAATTTAAAGGCAATTGGAACCTCAAAAACACTTTATACCTTGAGAGAGTTGTCGCAGTGATCTGAGTCACATAGCATGTAGTTGTGACTTCTGCTTCTTAGATTTTAGATTAACTCTCTTCCTCATTGTTTTTTCTGTAAATGATTGGGAGACACTAGAAACCAGACCTTCTCCCGTTCTGATCACTTATTTGTCATGGATTAACTGCCTCATTTATTGTTCTGTACCTAACTCAGACCAGATGGTTCAAAGGTTACTTTTTTTTTTTTTTTTTTGTCTGAGTCAGAGTTTCACTCTGTTGCCCAGGTTGGAGTGCAATGGCATGCTGATGGCCACCACAGCCTCCCTGCTGTGTTTGGTGATCCTTCCTTCTCAGCCTTCTAAGTAGCTGGAACTACAGACATGCACCACCACACACAGCTAATTTTTTTATTTATTGTAGAGACGAGGTCTTGCCTTTTGCCCAGGCTGGTCTCAAACCCGTAGGCTCAGGCAGTCCTTTCACCTCTGCCTCCCAAAGTGCTGGGATTACAGGCGTGAGCCACTGTACCTGGAAAAGGTCACATCTTTAATGTGGAATATTGAATATACCTTTCCCAAAAAAGAAAAAGACTGCCTCAACTAGACTATTGTAACTATACAACAAGCCTTATATTGAAAAATGTTGAAATTCTGTTAAGCTTCCTAAACCTCATTCATCTAAGACCCAAACATATATAGTTCAGAAAACTGACTTCTATTCTTCGGAATCTGTGATCTGTGCTTCCCAAGTGACTATCCTCAAACTTTGCACTTGAATAAACTCTCTTTAAACTAGATTCTGACCTTTTGATTATTTTAGTTTGACAATCAACAGTCAAGCATACAATCTTTTCACAAATATGGTAATGTGCATATAGTTAAAGGTTTTTTCTCAACTTTATTGAGATATAGTTGACAATTTAAAATTATATTTACTCAGCTGAGTGTGATACTCATGCCTGTAATTCTAGCACTTTGGGAAACTGAGGCTGGAGGATTGCTTGAGACCAGGAGTTTGATGGCAGCTTAGGAAACAAAGCAAGCCTTTCATTTCTACAAAAAAACCAACAAAACAAAACAAAACAAAACATGATAGTACACATTTGCAGTCCTGGCTACCCAGGAGGCTGAGGCAGGAGGATAATTTGAGCCCAGGAGTTCAAGGCTGCAGTGAACTGAAACCATGCCACTGCACCCGTCTGGGCAACAGAGTAAAATCCTGCCTCCCACCCCCCAAAAAATTGTATTCATTTAAGATTCACAACTTGTGAGGTAATATATGTATACATTGTAAAATATTCAGCATCAAATTAATTAACATATCCATCGCCTCACTTAGTTACCTTTTTTGTGTGTGCCCACACATGTGCATGATGAGAACTTGAGATCTACCCTTTTAGCAAATTGCAAGTGTACAATACAGTATTGTTAACTATAGTCACATTGTTGAACTTTCGATCTCCAAAGCATGTTTCTCTTATATAAGTAAAACGTTGTATCCCTTAATCAGTATCTCCCCATATCTCCAGTCCCTAGTAACTACTATTCTACTTTCCAAGAGTTTGACTTTTTAAAATAGCAAATAAGCAGTCTACTTTTATGCTGTAAGGAACTAGAAAAAGAACAACAAACTAAACCCAAAGATAACAGAAGGAAAGACTTACTGAAGATTATAGGGGAAATAAATTAAAGAATATAAACAATATAAAAAAACCAACAAACCTAAGAGTGGTTTTTTAAAAAGATAAACAAAATTGCCCAACCCTTAGCTACCCTGCCTCAAGGGAGAAGAAAGGGAGATCATAAGAGAATGTTATGAAGATTATATGCCAACAAACTGGATAATTTAAAGGAAATAAACAAATTTCTAGAAACATACAAACTGCCAAAATTAAATCAAGAAATAGGAAGCCTGAATAGACCAATAACAAATAAGGAGAATGAGTGAAAAATCAACATTTCCCCAACAAAACAAAAACAAAAACAAAACCAAGGACCAGATGGCTTCATGGTAAATTCTACCAAACACTCATAGAAAAGTCAATACTAATTAAAGTTTTTCAAAATAAAAACAGAGGGAACATTTCCATATTCATCCTATGAGATCAGTGTCACCCTGATACCAAAACCATATAGGCACTGCAAAAAGAAAAAGACAACTACAGCTCAATATCCCTTATGAACACAGATTCAAAAAGGATGGTTCAACATGTGTAAACCAATCAATGTGATGCACCACATGAACAAAAGCAATTAGAAAAAAAAACACATGAACATCTCAGTAGATGGAGAAAAAGCATTTGAAAAATTCATCATCCATTCATGATTAAAACTTTCTACAATATAGGTATAGATATAGAAAGTAAGAGGCATATAAGGAACTTGTCTTAACAAAATAAAGGCCATTTATAAAAAGCTCACAGCTAACATCATATTCAATGAGGGAAATGGACTTTCTCTTTAATATTCCATACAAAACAAGTAAAAGTTTTTAAACAACCATTCTTTAAAATGGATATTACTATATGGTGCTTCTTAGAAAAAAAAATGGTTACTCATTGAGTTCATTTTTCCAGTACTTTTATAGGCCTTGGCTGAGCAAGGTGATGGATGTGAACTACTTATAAGCCTACATATGATGCCTAAAATTGTTGCAGACTTCTTGTTTCTAGCCTAAAAATTACGCTAGCACAGAGGATGGCAGGAAAAAAAAGACTAAAAGGATCTGGTTTCTTGGTAATATTTTTGACCTAGTGACTCAAATACTCTCTGGTTTTAAGAGTCTTTTTAGCTACAATGAGAGAAATGATCTCTCCCCCCTCCAAAATATATAAATGATACCTCCCTTTAGTCTCAACTCAGGAAAGCTGATTGCATCTCAGCTCCAGGGGAGGCCTTCCAGAATAATTTCCTTCTTCCCCAGGAGATGGACTATGTTCCTCTAGTTGTTACAAGCCTACATATGATGCCTGAAATTGTTGCAGACTTCTTGCTTCTAACCTAAAAATTATGCTAGCACAGAGGATAGCAGGAAAAAAAGACTAAAAGGATCTGGTTTCTTGGTAATATTACTGAGCCAGTGACTCAAATACTCGCTGGTTTTAAGAGTCTCTTTAGCTTCAATGAGAGAAATGATCTCTCCCTCCAAAAATAAATAAATGATCCCTCCCTTAGTCTCAACAAACAATCTTTTCACTAGGGATTTATGGATCAAGTAAAAGATGATGTGTTGAAATGTAGATGAAAAAACATTGCACATATTTACATTTGTTTTTATCTAAAATATCAAATCAAATAATCTTATGAAAGTTTAATAACTAGAATAAAATTTATTATTCTGTCTACAAGTCAGTTATGTATCATTCATGAGAGAGACACAGGGTTCTTCTTCCTGTGAGGAAAATGTGAGTTCTAACACTGAACAGTTGCATGTTCATTTTTTCCTCCAGTCTCAGTGTATGGACATGTAGTACAGTTTTTATGTAGCTGGATAAGAGAATTTATAGATAAGATTAGTTACCTCTAATCAAACTAATCAAAATGGACAAGTAGTTTTAAAAAATAAAACACTTATTGAAGACAATAACAACAATAATAATACAAGCACAAATTAACAATAAGAAAGTAGCAGAGCTGTCACTTATCCTACCTCTGTACAAGTTCTTCATCAGGCATATTAAGAAGTTAAAAATAAGGAAAATTTATTGAACCTGGTAAAATATAAGCCAAGAGTAGCCAAGTAGTTGATTTTTGCAAATTAATCTATGGAAAGACCATTGTATATTTAGAATGTTTCCATCGTTAAGTACTCTCACCTGCACATAAAACTTGAAAACAGAATTCTAACTTTAATGAAAATCCCTCAGGTTTCTGGTATAACATGTAAGGAGCTCAGAAGTCATCCCTTTATCCTAACAAGTAAAAAATTAAGCAAACTGAAAGATCAACAACTTCCCTTAGACCCTTTCAATCAGAGAAGTGAGGACTCAGAGCAAACCACTGCTCTCCAAATTGGAGATAGCCAGGTAGATGCAGAGAATCACAACCTACCAGAGCAGAAACCCCAAAGCCAAAACCTTTCCAAGTATCAGGCTAGGAAACCCTAAAATATAATTGTTGAATTTCTGAACACTCAGTGTGTACTAAGATACTGAAAACTTTAGGGATTGCCTAATCAAGGGCAGCCCCTACACTTTTATAAGTTTACCTTTAGGAGCTCTACTAAGTTCTTACAGTAAATATCTGAGAAAAATCTCCTCACTTTCTGATGGGGTGGTGGGGGGGAGAAACCATTTTGAAATAATCCAGGGCATTCTGTTCTTAGCAAGCCCTGTCTCAAAAGAAAACAATATATCTATGCCTAACCTACTGGTGTTTTAGCAGAGGCTAACCTATCTTAGAGAAAGGAAACAGTCCCCTGGCCTTCCACATTAAGGCAGGGATAGATCCAACTGCAGCCCACTCTAGCCATCTCATTTCTCCTAAGTGGGGAGGAGCTGAGAATCATGTGTATTTCATAATTTAGGCACAGACTTGTTGAAATACTCATGATAGCTAATCAGAGTACTATAAACTGGATCCCCTTCTCCCACACCTTACCACCATATCACTAAAGGACTATTTATTGGAGTTTATTTTACCTAGTATTTTACATCCACATTAATAAAATTTTAAAAGATTGGATCAGACAAGAATAATAACTCCAAAGGAAAATTTTAATAAAATGAACTCAATGAGTCACCATTTTTTCTCTAAGAGGCACCATATAGTAAGTAATATCTGTTCTTACTGATCTCCAGGCCTCTAAGGTCAAAACCTTCTCATTCATCATCCACAATGCCAGATAATCTTTTTAGCAGGTAACTCTAATCATTTTACTTACTCATAATTCAAAATTCTTTGATGACTCCCTGTAACATTTAAAATAAAAGACAAAGTTATTTGTATAGACTATGTCACCTGGGTGATATTACCCCAATCTGCACAGCGCCTTCTGCTCACACTTTACACTTCAGCAATACTGTACTTAAATTGTAGTTTTTAAAAAATATGCTGTATTCTCTCAAGCCCATGGCGTTCTGTACAATTTTCTGTGTTTAGAACACTCTCTCTTAACATGGGATAAGCTTTATCACTTAAATCTCAGCTCAACTGGTTCCTTTTCTCTAAATCCTTTCCGGACTTCCAGCTACCAGGTTTTCCTTTCCCAGGTTCCCACAGTATTTCAGACACACTGCCATTATAGAACAATTATCATAACATATTATAGCTGCTAATACATCTGACTTACCACCAGTCTGTAAGTTATTTGAAGAACAATAACTCTCTTTTTGTGTCCATGTCCCTAGTGTCTAGTAGAGTGTCTAATGTGTAGTAGGTGCCAGGTGCATGTTTGTGGAATGCATATATAAATGTAAGCTAAAATGTTAAATGTAATCCCATATTAACTGAAAAGTGCTATATATTAAGATATTCTTTGTTTATTTCTATACAGGTGAAAATGAACAACTAAAAATAAATGCTGCTCTTATAAAAGAGAAGTTAAAATCTCGTGAACAGGTGAGTTTATATATCATTATGTTCAATCAAGTCCCTGTAGAGCATTTTTCTTTTCAAATTAGAAAAAAAAGATTGTTCTCATTAATAAATACAGTAAAAAGTTTGTGGTGTGTATGTGGAAATTATATATAATGCCAAAATCTTTAATAAATGAAATTTGTTTTAAAAGTAACACAAGTTTTGAGAACGCTAGTTTTTTTGTTTTTTTGTTTGTTTGTTTTTATAAAATATGTACTAATATATTGCTTGCAGTTGTTTTGCTACATATTTTTGTATTATATTAATACAGGTTTTACTCTGGTCTATACACTATTGATAAGCACATTTGAAGTTTTTAATTATAAAGTAAATGAGTTTGTAGTCTTTATGATTTGAATAATCACTGCATCATTCAAATGAAGATTACAAATTAATCTTCTCCCAAGACCCTCCATACTCTCTTCTATTTTTCCTGATCTTCTATAGGAACAGTATAATTATAGCAATTGTAGAACACATAACACAGCACCTAAAAACCATAAAACATGATTAATCAATGTCAGTTCTCATCTCTTTGCCCTTTGGGAGGCTCATTATGCTAACTTATTCTCATCTCCCAAGAGCCAATATGTGAAATTCTTGTAGACTAAGGTCTCTAAAACTCAAGTTGAATTTCTGGGAGGCTTCAGTTTGAAGGTCTTTTTCTAAATTCGGTCTGGTTCCTTGTTTAAGGAACCTGTAAAGAATCCTTCCCAGAACTTCTGAGTAATATTCAACAGTAATAAATAGCATTCTGGCTGAGCTCTCAGCAAATTTAGCTTTTCATTATCAATTTTGAGGTTGTTCAAATATCTCTGGAATGAATCTCACCCTTCTTCCACACCCCTTTACCCCATTTTTCTTTATTCTTTCCCAGTACCTTCCACATCTTGACTCTGGAGCACAATAGCAGATGGTGAAATCAGGTTGTAAAGGCAGGGAACAAAAGAGAGGAAATGTTTCCTCCTTTCCTTTCTAAAACTTCAAGCCCTAGTATCCTGCTTTGTCTAGAATACCATAGGAATTTTCAGTGGGATGGAAATTGAAGAAAACACATCACAGCTCAAGATTCTAAATTTCTTAGTTAACTGTTATCCTGAGCAAACTAAAAAATGGCAGTGGGGATTTTCCAGTATAAAACCTGCAGGCACATTAAAAACGCATAGAGAACCACTCCATAAGAACAAACTCAGGAGGTATCTAATAGCAACATTTGTGAGAGTAGAGGAATCTTGTAACTTGTATGCAGATAATTTTTGTTTTATAAAACCAGAGACTATCCTTTGGAATTTAAAGTTCCCAGCAAGTGTATGAGAATAAGGCAACCAACTAATTTATTGGGGTTTGGTACCCTTAGAAAAATGAAGGTGTTTAATTTTTTAGGGATGCACAGGCTAAGATGGAGGAGAAGATCTAATGAGATATAGCTTGATTCATCTCAGACATTAGGATGACCTTCATGCTTACTGGCTGGAATGAAAATCTTAGTTCTTACTGAATTAATGGATGCATTCCATGGCAACTTTGGGTGACAAAATTAGTGAGGAATAGAAAGGTACATTTATCCCTTGTGACTTATCAGAGCAGTAACGGTTTAGTGCACACAGTTTAATTAAAAGTAGTTTATGACAGTTACTCTGGAGTTTCCCATCCAGAAACCTAGATATACATATATGGAAAATGATGAATTGTGGAATTCACCTCCGCATTCACCTGCCCAGCTTTAATTGGAGTCAAGAGGTTGAATAGATTTGGGTATTCCTGCAAGTGGCCTGGCATGATAAGTAGAACAAATAGGAATACAGACTATATCCCTTGAACAGAAGTAATCTGCAGGAATGTATGCCTATTTTTAATTGTAGGCATATAAGCCATATAAGAATACTTTTTTTTAAGTAGGACCAAACCCCTGGCAAAGTTGTAAATGTTATCTTTACAATTATAAAATAGCTTTCTCTTCCATCACCATTCTCAATGCCTTCTCCCTGTTCTTAGCATAATAAATCACTCCTATGTTTCAAAAACCTAAGAAGCTAATATCAGACAGCTGTCAAGGATTTCTCAATCCCAAATTCATTTTTTCTCAGATGTCTTCTCCTAAAGCTAACGCTCACCATGGGTAGTGCTTAATCTTCTTCTGGGAATTATGAATATTTATATAATTTTCAGAAACAGAAGTGCAGCTCACATCCAAAGTGATTTGTCCTACATTTGAGTAAGCTTGCTAGCTATCAAGCAAGGCCTTCTGTTTGAGCATATTTTAAGCTGTAGTGGCATTTATTTGTACAACTGAACTAAGTTTTTCAAGCATGTTTAATATGCTAAGCACTGGTGTTGAATATTAAGAAGCAAAGATAAAAAGACATTGTTTCTGTAATGTCTTTATCTCCTTGGATTAGAAATTTGTCCTGCTCATGGAATTTATGAAGCAGAGAATGGAGTGGTGGTTAGCAGGAGCTGTAGAGGGGTAGCAGTTGGTCAAAGGATATAAAATTCAGTTAGATAGGAGGAATAAGTATAGGAGATATATTGTATAATGTGGTGATTGTAGTCAATAGCAATGTATCATATACATGAAAATTTCTCAAAGAGTAGATTTTTACTGTTCTCACCACAAAAAAATGATAAGAAAAATAAGATAATAGACATGTTAATTGGTTTGATTTAAGCATTCACAATGTATACATATATTAAAACACCATTTTGTATACCATAAACATATACAATTTTTATTTGTCAATTTAAAGAATAAGTAGACATGTTACTACATACATACAAAAAAGAAATTAATGTATCTCAAAGCTGATTATTCAATGATACAATATTTTTGTCTTTTAGATATGATTACATGTCAAAAATTAATATATACTGAGATTTTTACCTTTCTAATCAAAGTTGTACACACATATTAAATTCATAAGTTAAACTTCAAAAATGTATATATATTTTAATCTCTAGGAATATAAGAATAATATTGCCAAACTTGTGAGTGAAATGAAAATCAAAGAGGAGGAACATAAGATAGAAATAAGTAAACTTTATGAGGACATGCAGAAAAAAGGTAAGTTTTTGAATTTTAATTTACTGAATTCTATATATCATAAAACAATTTAAATGTGCATATACTTTTTTTCAGTAATAGTATTCTTGAATGAATGCTGCTGTCTTCATTCATTTTAATTTAAGCTTTGTACTTTCCTATATGTATGTAAATAAATACAACATTTCTAAATTTGATTCCTGGTGTTTGTACTTCATACGTATCTAATATGAAGCAGTTAGTGTCCTTATAAAATTAGTGTAAAATGTATAATTAATAACTTTATATGTCTATGCTCAGCATGTTGAATACAATTTCACTAATGACATTTTCCTGTCAATGAAGCAGATCTCATGAGCCCATGTCGAAGGTTAATTGGTTTCATACAGTTATTGAAATCTTCCTTAATGAGCCTATCTTATGTACATCATATGAAAAAATTAACTTGAAATGGGTGATTTGTCTAAATGTAAAACCTATACTTAATAAAACTACTGGAAGAAAGTATAAAAGATTTTCTTTGTGATCTTCAGTTGGGCACAACTTCTTGGAAATAAACAAAAAGCACAGACAATAAAGACAAAAGTTCTAAGTTCAACTTCAAAATTATTAATTTATGTTCTTCAGTACTACTAAGTAAATGAAAATACAGGCCATAGACTGGGAGAAAGTACTTGCAAAAGGATATCTAATAAAGAACTTATAGTCAAAATATATAAAGAACTCTAACAATCCAGTAAGAAGTCAAACAACTTAACAAGGAAATGAGCAAAATATTTGAACAATTACTACCTCAGAGGCATATAGATGAAAATTAAACACAGGAAAAGATATTCAACATGATTAGTCAGTAGGGAAATATGAATTAAAACACTGTACTTTTAAAAATAACTGAGGTCTTTAAAACTATCAGTGCCATGTTTTTGAGGATGTGGAACAACTGGAACTGTCATACATTATTGATGGACCTATAAAATGGTACAGTTACTTTGTTAATTTGGCAATATCTTTTATTTATTTTTATTATTTTTTTTTTAGGAAGCAGAATTTATTGACAGGACAGAAAAGTTTCAACAGTGGGAGGGGACCTGAAGGGGTTGCCTGTCAATATCTTTTAATATGTGTCTTCTGAGAAGCAGATGCTAAGACAGGATTAGACACTCAAGAAGTTTGCTGGGGAAAACATTTGTGAGATTAGATGGGAGGGAACCAAGAGAGGACTGCGTGAACTGTCATATAATACAGATTTAACCTCTGTTAAGAAAAGAAGAAAGGAAGGTATCTTGGATAGAAAAATTCTTAATTTGTGACACATTTCTAAGAAAGTTTCAGCAATGTTGAGCCAAAGTTGCCCATCAAATGAGTTCTGCAACTCTCAGGAACAATCTTGCCTTAATATCTCTACTACACTCAGTCACTGACTAGGAGAAGCTCTTGAGAAGCATTGCTTCAGCATAAGCATGGTTATGAAAACAGTGAGTCAATTATGTTCTCTGAAGCTGGAGATCTGAAAAATTTTCTTGGCCACAACAGTCTACCTCCTGGACTACACAGATTTACTTCTCTATATGGGTTCAAGTAACAACTCTTTCATGGTTCTTGTGGGCCTTTCTTCCTAAAGGGATGCCTAAAAGAGGAGTTATTTTTCTTCTTCTTAGGGCCCTGACCATATCTTTGGCCAGTGGGTTCCACATTCAAAAATTGGTTCATGTCTGGGAACTGAGAAAAAGATGATTTTTTAAAAACTGAGGCATGTACCCTAAGCCTCCTGTTCTTCCACTCTTGATTTTTTTAGTGTAGTAGCTGTTAAGCAGAATCGATTATCTATCTATGATTATCTCTACAATTTTCTGAAGATCAAGATTCTTTGGTTTCTCTCCAAACTTCCTGGTCATTTGATAATTGTGGCCTCCTGATTTTTGGCAGTTAAGCTCCATCATCTAGTTTCAATTACTTTGTGGTGTAGGGGGATATCATGCCCATGGATATTAGTGAGCCTAGCTCTATGACCACCTCATCTACTGTCAACTGTGGCTTGCAGGGGAGAGTGACCATTGAACTTTTTGGTGATGCTGGTCTGCCTGTCACCAAGACATTTTTGGTGGCCTTGGTTAATAGGTCTTCTTGGCCCTCTTGAAGAACATAATCCTTTGATGAGTTTTCTTGCTTCACATAATATATCCATTCTAGCATGCCAACTTTCTACAACCTCCTTATTACTATCTGTCAGGGTAGCTTATGCATTTTAACTTCACTCAGCTTCAGTGATTGCTTTCTCTATATGTCTAAGCTCACTCTAGCAGAAAGTTTGTTCCATCTCCTGTGATCCTTGCTAGGGTGACATGTCCCTTGTTACTAAAGAGTAATCTTGAGTCACTAAATTCTTGCTTACCTAGTCTTACTTTCTGTCTTCTTTGATCCAGCATGCTCAAAACCTATTAGGGTATACTTACATGTCTCCTACCAATACAGCATAGTAAATTCTTGCAGATCATTTGAGGAATAATCACTTTCCTCTGTTGTCACTTACCAAGCCAGGTTATACTGGGCCTTTAGTCTAGTTATTGGCCTAGCAGCCAAAAGTAGGTAGCCAAAAGTAGGGGTCATTTCTGAGAGGAGTGTCTGCAACATTTTTCAGCAAAGGGAAATGCTCACTCTTATTAGGAAAGAGTAGACTCCCTCTCCAAACCTCAAGTGTTTAAGGAGGTCTTTAGAGTTAGCATCTTGGAAGCATTCATCCAGATGTTCCCATTTCTATTTTTCAGGATCTCAAGTTTTCCCAATAAGTGTCTCAATTTTATCATAATGAGTCTGCTTTGGCTAAACATGTAAACGACTCTGGAGTTCTTCAACTCAATTAGATTTTCTGTTGCTTAACTGTGTCTGATGTTCCATTACCAGAGGTGACAGCAAGTTTGTAAGCTACCAAAGGGTTTCTCTGGTTCTCATACTTACTCTTTAATTACTTAACTTCTTATTAACAGCCTTCTATTTCTCATTATCTTTCAGTAGAATGACTATTTAACTTAGCAGTAACCAGGCAACTCTACTGCATTTGAGGATGTTGCTTCCATACATCTTTTAAATATCTATCACAACTGCAAGGCATTTCCCACCACCAGGATATTTTCTCAGATTACCTTTGCATAAAATCTGTAGTAATCAGAACCCAATCACATACTAGGAACTATCAGTATTCCTCTTACCACTAAGGATGGCTTCTTCATTGCTTACAAAGTGGTAAGTGAGCCCATCTCAGAACCTCATTGTATCTGTTTTCTATGCTTGTTCAGGTTCTTCAAGAGGAAACACCAAAATGGGAATAGACATTCAAGTGATTTGTTGGGAAAAATACTTTTGAGAGTAAATGAGGAGAGAATAGAGAAGGCTGGGTGAGCTGTCAGTTCACAATGCGAAGGAGAGAAAGAAAGGAAGTTGGATTTTTAAAAAATCTTAGACTTCAACACAGTTCTATGAAAGTTTAGGCAAAGCTAATAAATAGGGAGTTATTGATCCAAATTTGCCTGTAAATTAATCCCATATCACCCAGGAGTTGACCCACCTTAGTATTTCTTCTATACCCTGTCATCAACTAGTTGCAACCCATGAAAGCATGGCCTCAGTTCAAATGCAGTAATGGATTTCAGAGAGCAGAAACTGGGGCACGTGATCTATTAGGATCCTTGAGATCTGAGAAGCTCATTTCATGGCCACCACATAACACATATCATATGACCCAGCAATTCTACTCCTAGGTATTTACCCAAGAGAAATGAAAGCATATGTATATACAAAGACCTGCTTATGAATGTTTATAGCAAATTAATTTATAATGAACCAAAAATGAAATCAAGCAAATCTGTTAACTGGTAAATCATGGCACTTCCATATAATGGAAATTATTCAGCAATAAGAAGGAATGAACTACCGATATATTCAACCCTATGATCACTTCAAAAGTATAACGCAAATGAAAGAAGCCAGACCCAAAGCCTTCTGTATGATTCTGTTTACATGACATTGCAGAAAAACAGAAAATTATAGTGTCAAAAATCAGATCAATGTTTATCAGAATGTGGGTAAAAGGGTAGTTTATAAAGGGGCATAAGGGCTCATTTTGAAGTGATGAAAAAATTCTACTTCTTGACAAAATTATGAACTTTGCAGCAACTTGGATGGATTTAGAGTCTATAATACTCAGCGGTCTATCACAGAAGCAAAGACGTGAGTACCACAGGTTCTCACTCATAAGCGGACCCTGAACTTTTGCCATAATACTATATGCAAAGGATCAGCAGTAGCAGGATACTGCTAGGGGATGGGGATGGAGGCACATAACATCAATAAGGGTACATGATGTCAAACCCGGCGAAGTTGGGACCAAGGGAGGCCCAACTTTGTACAGTGACCACTTGTATACCTAATCCTGAATTGAACCCCACATCTTTAAAGTAAAAAATAAAATGAAATCAAATAAAAATTAGAAAAAAAACAAATTATAAAAGAAAATTCTACTTCTTGATTGTGGTGGTTAAATTATTGTGTATGTTTGTCAAAATTCATCACACTGTATACCACAAAAGAAATTTTTCATCAGTAAATCTAACTTTAAAATAAAACATCCTAAGCAAGATAAATTATAAATATTTTTAAAAGGGAATAAGTATATATCTACTCATGATCCAGATAATGGCATTATCAGATATGAAATTTATAATAAATAATTAATATGTTGAAGAAATTCAAAGACTTGATGGAGAATGTTTATGGAGAACTGAAGACTACAGTAAAGAAATATACGGAAATATGAATTCTAAAAACACAATAATTAAAAATAAAGAGTCAGTGTATTGGTTTAATAGGCAATTAGATGCAAAGGAAGGTAAAACTTTAAGCGGGAAGATAGCTTAGAAGAAAATATCCAGCCTGAGACAAGTAGAGGCAAGAAGATGATATATGAGGGGGGACACAAAAAAAACCCAGAATAATTTTTTGGAGGGTAAGCCCCTTATAGTACAAGTTTCCCCTGCTAGGTAAGTATTCTAGGAACCCATTGGCATCAGTTTTTCAGTGTACCATCAGTGTAGAATTGTCGTGAGAGCCTGCATTCAGCTTTAGTGAATATTTCTTTGAAGATTCTTTCAGCGCATTTGCCCATTTCATGATGGGTAATTTACGAGCACACCTACCCATACCACACTAAATGTTCAGCAGTTTTTGACCAAAAACGGCATGACCTCCATGCCCCACCCTCTTTATTTGCCTGATCTTGCCCCTAGTGACATTTTTTTTGTTTCCCTGAGTTAAAAACAAAAAAGTCCTCAAAGGAAAATGTTTTGCTGATATGAAAGAGGTGAAAAAAAAAAACTGCAGAAGCAATACAAGGTATTAAAATTGGCAAGTTAAAAACTGATTTGAGCAGTGGGAAAAGCATCTTAATAGTCGTATTGCATCAATGGGGGGGTACTTTGAAGGTGACTGAAGTTAAAACATGTAAGAATAAATAAACTCGTTTTTATAAATAAATTCGAGGGATTTTTTGGGTTCCCCCTTGTATACGGAAAAAATATACGAGACATAGGACCTGTTAGTGAAGTCTAGGGAAGGCTGTAGTCTCATCTAGTGTTGGACCTAAAGCTACTGCATTCAGAAATACTTGCAGTCAAATGGAAAAGCTGATGTGAAGTGGAAAAGACTAAGGACACACCAGAGTCTTCATCTTGCACTTCCTCTAACCTTAATGACATGGTGACCTGTAAGAAAAGATGGTGCCCTATATTATGAAACTGCAAAGATACCTGGGTTAGGACTCACAGCAAGTAAAGGAGGAAATGTTGATGGAAGCTTAAAAAGCTGTGGAATCATATGCTTCCTCATAGCAGTAGAGTGACCCATGGATCAGTGACAACTTGTGTGAATTACAACACTACCTGGTACTCTACACTGACTTTCAGAAAATGATAGCTGTTGATTTGGTGAGCCAGGAAACCAGCAACACCGTGTGTGAACTGCACCATTGCCTAGCTCTAAAGAGCAAATTAGTTCTTACTATATTTCCATATACCAAATCTTGAGCATATTTATCTTGTGACCAAGTCCAACTTAGACTATATATGGAAGGGAATTCTAAGAAACACAGCTTTAATTTAGCTAAGTTAACATAGTACAAAATCACCAAGATAGAAGGGGAAGTAAATGGACTTAAAGTGTTGTAAGGTTTTGTTTTGGATTTTTATTTTTGTTTTGAGCCAGGGTCTCATTCTGTTGCCCAGACTGGAGTACAGTAGCATGATTATTGCTTATGGCAGCCTTGACCTCCTAGGCTCAGGCAGTTCTTCTGCCTCAGCTTCCCAAATAACTGGAACTACAGGCGTGTGCCACCATGTCTGGCTATTTTTTTAATTTTTTTGTAGAGACAGGTCTTGTTATGTTACCCAGACTCAAACTTCCAGGCTTAAGCAACCTTTCTGCCTCTACCTCCCAAATGCTAGGATTACAGGTGTGAGCCACCACGCCCAGCCCTAAGATTTTTACAATGTTTATAAAGTGATAAAAGTACTAATGTTATTAGAGTCTAATAAATCAAGTATATATGTTGTAGCCATTAGGGTAGCCAGTAAAAGAATATATATTAAGCTAATAACTATCACTCTACTACAGGAGAAAAAAAAGAGGAATAAAAATAGTTATTCAGTCCAAATGCAGCCAAGAAAAGAGAAAGGAATATAGAATGTAAAAACCAACAAATAATAAGCTGGTAGATTTAAACCCAGACATATTAGTAAATAAATTAAATTAAATTTGAACAAATGTTCCAATTAAAAGACAAAGATTATTGGATTGGATAAAAATTTTAAAAATTAAACTCTACCAATATGCTACTTTCAAAAGATATACCTAAACTATAAAGATCTAGAAAGATTTAAAGTAATAAAAAGAAAAAGGAAATATCATGCAAATGGTAGTCAACACAAGGCTGACATAACTATATACATATTTTAAGGCCAGAACAATATTGGAGAAAAAGATAGATATTTCGTGATGATAAAATGTTCAATCTATCAGGAAGATACTACAACAATTCTAAATTTATATGCACAAAATATCAGGGCTTTAAATATATGAAGCAAAAATTGGCAAAACTAGTAGGATAAACAATCATAGTGAGGGATTTTAATTTTAGTGGTAGAAGAAAATATATATGAACAGGCAAATCAGTAATGTAGAAAATTTAAACAACAAAAATCGACAAACTGATACTAATTGACATAAATAATATACCTAATAAATGCAGAATATGCAATATTTTCATGTATTCAATGGACATTTAAGAAAGTTGACCATAGCATAAACCGAAAAGCAAATTTTAACACATTTCAAATCATGAGTAGATTATTTGACTGCATTGAAGCTGACTAAAATTGGCTAAAAACAAGTAACTAGAAAATTCTTATATGTTTGGAAATTATTTCTGAATAACGTGTAGATCAGGGTAGAAATTCCAAAGGAATGTAGTAAATATTTTGAACTGAATTTTACAGAAAACATTACATATCAAAACTTGTGCTAAAGCTGTATTTATGGGTAAATTTATAATCTTAAATACAAATACTAGAAAAGGCTAAAAATATATTATTTAAATACCTATATCAGGAAGTTAGAAAACTCCTTATTTGTGGGAACTGTGGACTAATTGACTCTTTTCCCTTTAAAAATCAAGTATATATTTGAGACTCCCAGTCTATATAGTGTGGTGTCAGTATTAAGGAATAAGTAACAGGAATAAGAAAGTTGGGAGAAGAGGAAATTTGATGAAGCATAAAGACATGGTGTGAATATGAGAGAAGCCCGATCATATGGAATAGTATAGCAAGGACTTGATGTAGTTCTAGAATCATGAGAACTTTATGCCTTAGAAATCTAAGCTTAAACACTGAATCTCCTAATTATTTTCTAGACCATTGATGTTTAAGAGCAAAGATGTTCAACCTATCAGGAAGATACTACAACAATTCGAAATTTATATGTGCAAAATATCAGGGCTTTAAATATATGAAGCAAAAATTGGCAAAACTAGTAGGATAAACAGCCAAATCCACAACCATAATGAGGGATTTTAATTTTAGTGGTAGAAAAAAATACAAATACACAAACAAGCAAAATCAGTAATGTAGAAAACTTAAACAACAAAAATCGACAAACTGATATGAATTGACATAAATAATATACCTAATAAATGCAGAATATGCAATATTTTCATGTATTCAATGAACATTTAAGAAAGTTGACCATAGCATGAACTGAAAAGCAAATTCAAAACGATTTTAAGAGTGACCTTTTTGTTTCAAACATGATGCATGGTCAAAAATACATATATAAAAGCTACTCTAGGATGGGCGTGGTGGCTCAAGCCATAATCCCAGCATTTTGGGAGGCTGAAGCTAGAGGATTGCCTGAGCCTGTGGGTTACAGACCTGCCTGGGCAACATGATGAGACCTCATCTCTACAATAAATCAGAAAATTAGCCGGGCATGAAGGCACTCAACCTAGTTACAGTTACTTGGAAGGCTGATGTAGAAGGATTGCCTGAGCCCAACAGGTTGAGACTGCAGTGGCTAGGAGCATGCCACTGCACTCCAGCCTGGGCAACAGAGTGAGACTCCAACTCAAAAAAAAAAAAAAAAAAAAGCTACTCTACATATAAACAATTTCTAAAATAAGTTTTAATAACAGAATTTACTTTCTTGTGAATTACTTAAAATACTAAAGAAATATATGCTTGTAATACTAATATTTTTTAAATGTTAGATAAATAAATTCTATTTATTTTTGTTGTATTTAGTTGAATTAAATGAAGAAAAGCACAAAGAACTAATAGAGAAAAAGGAGATGGAAATTTCAGAGTTAAATGCAAAGTTAAAAACTCAAGAAAAAGAAAAACAAAATGAAATAATCAAGCTACAGCTAGAGGTGGGTGTTTGTCTGCTAAACTTGAGGACACATCCCTGAATCTAAATTGTACTTGCATTAGTTTTCATTACAGTGAGATACATTTTAAGACTAGAAGCAACCCTGTGAGAGAGCTTCATACACACTAATTCTCCATCAAATGCAGTGCTTAATCACTGTGTAACTGTCAGCTACACTGCGTTTTAGCACTTGACCTGAAGGTGGGACTCTGTTTGTTCAAAAGGTCCTAGTTTCCAGAAAGGATGCTGTTTCCTCTGAGAGTGGGGACAGAAAACTCCATGATTACCTGCATTTTACAGTCAAGTCTATGTAGGTTTCATAATTCTTCCATTCCAGCAAAAGGAACGTGCTTCTAATCCTTAGCATTACTTACATCCCAGGAGAAATTGTGGAACCCTGGTAAATCTACTAGAAATTTATGTTCATTTATTTGGTATAAACATAAACAAATTTCACCCTAATAAATTTCTGGAAAAATATATATCTGAAGAGCAAACTAATTTCCTTTAAAAAAAAAAAAAAATGTAAGCCCGGCTCCGTGGCTCAGCCTCTAATCCCGTGCCTTTGGGAGGTTGAGGTGAGCGGATTGCCTGAGCCCACGGGTTCGAGACCCGCCTGGGCAGGCAAGGCCTCATCTCTACAATAAATCAAAAAAATTAGCCTGGCGTGGTAGCGTGCGCCTGTAGTTCCAGCTACTTGGAAGGATCGCCAGAGCCCAGCAGGTTGAGGCTCCAGTGGCCAGGAGTGGCCACTGCACTCCAGTCTGGGCAACAGTGAGACTCCAACTCAAAAAAATAAAAAATTAAAAAATAAAAATAAAATGTAAAGGGACGTCAAATAGGGCATTCTCAAAGACTGAGTTTCCAGCTTATTACTCTAAAGGCTTTTTAGTAAGTTATTTAATCAGATGCCAGGATCTCTAGGATATGGATATTTTGTCAGAACATTTGTTCTTTAAATATTTTTCTGGTTTCTACCAACCTCTTCTTCCTTCAGTTTTTCATCCCTTATAACCCACCCCAACTTTCATTTTTACCTTATAGTGCAAAGGTTTGCAGGCCTTATTTAAGATAACTTACTATTTTATTCCTGGAACTTTGGTATCCCTGGGATGTTAGGTGAGGTACCATGTGTAATCATTGAACAGAAGAGGGACTGATGTGGACTTTAGAGGCTCTTTGCTGCTGCTATCATCTGGCCAATTGTACCCACAAACCAGTGATAACTAGATGTCCAACTGAAATTAGTAGGCCATGTTTCAAGATCTACCAACAACTTCTAGACTCCTGTTGGGGAATTTGCATTTTGTTTGCTACCTGGGCTCTATCACTGGTTCATTATTTGGCTAGTATACAGAACTCTTTGTTATTTGTCTTCATTATACCTGTCCATTTCTCTCCTCAAATCAGAACACAGTCTCACAGAGTTTATTCTTAGTCCTCAGAGTAAAGAGTCCTAAAGTAAATCTGAAGGGAAGAGTTATAATAGAATATTGTGCAAAAACAAAACATTTGGCACGTAAGAATGGCCTATAGGAACTTTTTTTTTTTTTTTGAGTTGGAGTCTCACTCTGTTGCCCAGACTGGAGTACAGTGGCTGCTCCTGGCCACCGCAGCCTCGACCTGCTGGGCTCCAGCGATCTTCTGCCTCAGCCTTCCAAGTAGCCGGAATTACAGGCATGCGCTACCACACCCGGCTGATTTTTTGATTTATTGTAGAGATGAGGTCTCGCTGCCCAGGAGGGTCTCGAACCCGCGGGCTCAGGCAATCCACTCACCTCAGCCTCCCAAAGGCATGGGATTACAGGCCGAGCCAGATTTGGTTTAATTCAAACCAGCAAGAGTTCAAACTAAGTTGAAAAGATCATATTCAAATTCTACTGTTTAGCCTCAAAGTTTCTGTAGAAAGGTATGTGAGTTTTTCTCCAATGACTGTTGATTACACTACATTTCTTTTTTTACAATACATTCTTGGTAATGTGAAAATATGTTTTATGTATCTTTACGTTTAACTAGTTTCTCAACTCTGCCTGCATGATAGAATCACCATATATTTAGAGACAAAGACGATTGCTAGCTGCACCTCAGAATGTGGTAGCTCTCAGGTATTTGGTACTTTTAAAAAGCTCTCCAACTGGGCTCAATGGCTCATGCCTGAAATCCCAGCACTTTGGTAGTCCAAGATAGGAGGGTTGCATGAGCCCAGGAGATCAAGTCTGCAGTGAACCATGACTGTGCCACTGCACTCTAGCCTGGGCGACAGTAAGAACCCAACTCAAAAAAATAAAGTAAAATAAAATAAAAAACTCCCCAGGTAATTTTAACATGCAGAGTTAATCTTGTCTGTGTGTTCTTTGTTCTTTCTTAAAAATTGTTTCTTAAAGAATTTTTTTAACCTGTAGCCTGTTATGCAAAAAATACACTTAAATTACACATTATATGCCAAAGAATACCATGGAATATATTGTATTTATAGAAACAATTATTTGTAATTGTTACAATAACTTTCTTTTAAAATTTGATTCAGTTTGATGCCAAACTAGCAAGACTTCAGACTAAATCAAAATCATATCCGGAGTCTACGGTTTTACCTCAAAGTATCTACAGAAGGGTATGTGAATTTTTCTCCCATGACTGTTGCTTAGGAAAATAAATTTTCTAAGTGTGTTTCTATAAAAAAAACATATAATTATTAACTATATATTTTGTTACCTTATACCAGTTTTATCCATTAAGTCAAAATTGAAATCATATACCTTTCAAAATAAGGTATCTTTTAAAATTCGAACTTATGCTCAAAGCATATTTCTTTGTTGTTTTTTTTTTTTGTTCCTTCTACTAAATTTTATTTCTGAATTGTAGTAACCAAAATTTTTTTTATTTCATTTAGAAGCTTCAACATTTTCAAGAAGAAAAAAACAAGGAGATTGCAGTTCTTCGTAATACCATTTGTGATTTAGAGCAACGTCTTTCAGTTGGCAAAGAGTCTTACCTTAAGTGTAGACGGTTTTGAGCTTAACAGTAAATTCATTAGTTGCTACCTAATTTATTTAAAAGCAATTGAAACATTCACTTGTATTTCAATATATGCATACTGCCTATGTAATAATAACAAAAGACAGCTTTAAACTTTTAAAATTTAGTTTATTTAGACAAAGCCATACCTTAGCCAATGGTGTACTGCATTCTTGCTTGATAGTATTAACCATAAAGGAATTCAGGCTTATAGGGTTTAGTTTACCTATTAAACCATCATTGACTATGGAATACTTTCTAAGCAGTCTAGAGATACACAATATTCTTTACCTTTCCCTTTATATCTTTCAAGACAACCACTCAAATTTTAGATTAGTATGATATAGTGTTAGAGAAAGAAAACAAGATATAAAGTTTTTATTCATTCGTGATAATGAAAATTAAGATAATGAGTCTTAGATATAAAAAAAGACAAATGGATACTTAAAATGTAGTTATATATGCTTTTTGGCAAAATATTCATCTGCTAAGTATTTCTGGATCTTAAAATAAAAAATCCACTTCTTTTTTTAAAGTTTTAATCAGTTAAAAAATGTAAGTATGAAAAAACAAAGATAATATTGTTTTGAGAGATAAGAAGAAATAGAAAGCATGTCTTTGTTGCTCTTCCTCCATTCTAAATTGCTAACTATCCAACAGAAACCCCTAAGTCATAGTTTATGCTTCTGTTCTCATTAATGCAAGTAGAACACTGGAAAAAGAAAAAAAAAAGACATACTAACTAAAAGCTGCAATCACCTTTCAGTTGCCCCTAATAAAAATACTGTTTGGGTCAAATTTTTATGACATGAAATTTAAAATTTAAAAGCCAATCCAGTAGATTTCTCCATGTTGGCACAAATCCAATTCCTATTTTTTGTTCACGAATTAATTTGGTAGATTTTTTAAATGCTGGAAATTAAATTGTATCTAGACTGACTTGGGGAGTATATCCTATTTTAAATATTTAGTTTGATGGTCATTCTCACTTTTTTGCCTTATTCTTTCAGCTTCATCTGGTACTGGCTTCTGTGGGTGTGAGCTGCTGACTTGTTTGTCAGGCAGCTGGAGGCAAACGTCACTGACAAGATTCAGTGACATTCTCCTCTGCCCGAAGTCCCTGTCAGCTACATAAAGATGGGAGATTTTCTTTACACTGTCAGGTGATTGTAGACCCTGTTTTTTCAAATATCAGATGTCGACAATGTCAGCATCAGCTTCTAGGAGCCAACTCAGAATCTTTGGGCAATTTGCAGAGCAATTGATTTATACATCCCTTTCGTCAGAGTTTCTTTTGTGGAAGTTGTAAACCCTCACTTCCTGGCATATCTCAGCCCTCTGAGTGACCCTGCCTATGATGATCCTTGTGCTTGTGGTGGTGATGAAGGCCTAGAGGAGGGGGATGAATCGGAGCATCTGGTGCTCCTGGTTGCTGAATCTCTGAAAGCTCACTGCTCCCAAGATGCTGATGCCTGTGATTGTGATGATGCTTGTGATGACGATGAGCTTCAGTTGTTTCCACAGTAGTCAAAGATACATTTTTACAGAAGTTTTCATCTTTGAGAGTCTGTAACAGATTTATAAATCACTTATTAACAAGTTTATAGAGATAGCAGTCATGCATGAAAAATAATTTGTAGAGCTAACAGCTAACATATATGAAATCCCAAGTTAATTAGGATAGAGCTGGCTTTGTTTTCTAGTACTATTGAATAAAGAGTATGATGTTTGTCTCAATACCTAAGCTTTTTGTTAAAGGTTTAAAAAGAAAACCAAACCACTGTGTTTATATCTATAGAAGCAAACAAAGTAAGTGGACTAAAAGACCCTAGACTGCAGAAAAGTCAATCAAATACCAATTTCTAAAATCAGTTGATCTATTTGGAATCTTTTGAATCTATGTCAATAATGCATCTAATCTAATACTGTATAGTTCTGTAATCTAATACTAATATATCTCTGATAAGTTAAAAATGCCAATAAACTCTGCTCAAATTTGGTAATTTTTCATACTTCACCTTATGCCAAGAAATGTCTTTAACGTCACTGAAACTTTGCTAACGTGTCCCTACCACAGTGCTGTCAGCTGAAAGCAACAAATTACTGCCCATTTCACACTGACCATGATACCCATTCTGCATTATCCTAGTTCTTTAATTTCCTGAAATTCTGGCTTTATTTTTTTTGTGGTACCCACAAACTCAGAGCCTATAGATATAAAAACACAATGTTAAACTTCAGCCTAAAATTGACTTGTAAACAAAATTAAAAGCTCAACTTAGAATTCAAAGATTCACGAAGTGATATGATTTGATATTTGAAGGTTTTGAAAGGTTGTAAATTTCAGTGGATTTTAGCATACAAATACTAAGTGGTACATTTTTTTTGTTATTTCTAAATTACTTCTGTGTTAGAACTTAATAGTATTTGATTATAAACTTATGAACAATTTGATAAATATTTAAAATGTACTGTGTAATGTTCAAAGTGCTCAACGATTAGACAAACACAAATGGTAGTCTAATTCATTTCAAAACTAATTATATTTCACTGATTGTACTATGATGCATATTCCTTAAAATTTCAACACCTAAAATTTGAATGTATCCTACTATTGATGATATTTTCACACTGTATCCTACTTTAATTGGCAATATTTTTTAATGTACATAAAATAATGTGTCATGTAATTGATGGCATCTAGGAGACAATGAAATAGAAAACCTCTAATTTGATTTGGCACATCAGATACACACAGTATCCGATCTGCAATTCATATTTACAGGTCATTCATAAATTGTAAGCATATTGTGAGAATTGTTTCTGCCTTTTTAAAATATAACTGGGCATATTATAATTATCAGGTGTTTGCACAAATGAGAAATCCCAAAATATGAGGAATCAATATAGCTACAGTTTATTTTAATGCTTTGTATAGGTTAGACATTGAGTCTGTACTTTTCTTGCATTACCTCAGTTTTCTCATTTTTAAAAGAAGTAAAATAACCCTCACGAGATTACTATAAAGATTAAAATGTGAAAAAATACACGTTATTAACTTGTACTCCTTAACAAATAAATAAATTAATTAAATGATTTGTTAAAATTTGAGGTGGGTTTCTTTTTTCTTCCTGGGAAAATCTGGAGGAAGTACAACTCACAAATAAAATTTATAATTGTTTTTAAATCTGAGTTCAAATTTTGTCAATTTGCCCTATCAAGAAAATATTTAGAATTGTTTTCCTTTTCAATGTAAAGGAAAATAAGTCTAGTTAACACAAATTAAAAACAATTATTTGTGTATCTTTTTTATTAAAAATAATATCTAAATATAGTTATTCTCATGACAAGGAAGAAATATATTCATAGTGGTTAGGAAAGAAATACCAGTGATGAGTAAACAACTCATTCCATTTTGAAGTAAATGCAGTAATCTAAACTGCAGAATGGGCAGACATTGTAAAGCTTCATAGTTTTGCATCCTTGATAAATAAGAAAGTTTTCTGATGCCAATTTCATTCCAGGTAACACTGTAGATAAGTTTTGCTATCACTGTGTTCTTGTGTGAACATGTTCAGATTACTGCAGTAATAAGATTTGACTAAATTCTTTAAGCACTTCTACTCATGCAACATCATGTGATCTACATTGATTCTTATTTTCTAAAACCTTTCTAGATAAAGGCAGCAACATGTATCTTGAAAAGATGTATGGGTTAGATAACAGGAAATGTGTATAATTATTAAAAATATTATTTACTTTTCATATACCACCAAAACATTGATTAGCTAATTTATCATGAAACATTAACCTATTTAGATAGCTCTTAAGAAAAATAATTGAGAAAAATACCATGAGAGAGCAGTTTCCACATTTCTTTTCACAGTAAGCAATCTTAATGGCTTCTTCTACATATGGGAAAGTCAGGAAGGAAAAAGGCAGACCAATATGATATACAAGACGGCCACATCTTTTAAAAGAAGAACAAATACAATGTCATTACAATGTTTTCTGTGTTATGATCTTATTAAAGCACAGTCTGGGGTAGGTATTACAGGTTTAATGGTCTTATAAATAAGACCCTTTCATACCTTCAGTAATTTTTTTAGGTGGAGGTCTACAATTAAGCTCCCAGGTACACATACCAGATCAGTTCATAGCAAGACTACAGTAAGTCTAACACTAGCACTTTAAAATGTTATAGATATATCACTAAGTAATATTACAAATATGGAGTATAGTCATTGTGACTTGGTCAAATACAATTTTGTGATTGACATAAATTATAACTGTGCAAACCACTTACTTATAAATTAGGCCCTGCAAATCACATAAGCTTTTTATAACTGCTAAGGCAATACAAATGTGACATAAGAAATCACAGCATAGCAAAAAGATCTTAATAAAGCAAATGCAATCAAAAAAAAAAAAGAAAAATAGTAAACCAGCCCAATTTTTAAAAAATGAAAAAGAAGATCCAACTCTTGGCAAATAGTTCATTTACTTAAAAATATAGCTAATGGAACAAAAGTTCCAGCACAATAAAAGAATTGGAATGATAACACTTGGCATCCTCAAAAATGGTGGGGTTGAAATGCTCTTCTTGCCCACATTTTATCTGGTATATGTAGCTTTTTTTGAGAATCAAAGGATAATAATTTGCAACTGACTAAATTAAAGGGTTGGAAGACTAAAAGAATGAAATATGATATTTTTTAAAATTTAGTATAAGAACAAGTAGGGCTTAGGCCTAGACAGAGTCTGACTCACTAGACTGAAGAGCTGAAAGAAAATAAAACACTGGCCAACCTCCATGGCTCAGTCTGTAATCCCAGCACTTTGGGAGGCCGAGATGAGTGGATTGCCGAAGCTTGTGGGTTCGAGACCAACCCAGGCAATTTGGCAAGACCTCGTCTCTACAATAACTACAAAAATTAGCTGGGCATGGTAGTGTGTGTCTGTCATTTCAGCTACTTGGAAGGCTGAGGCGGAAGGATAGCCAGAGCCCAGCGAGTCAATGCTGGGGTGGCCATGAGCATGCCACTGCACTCCAGCCTGGGCAACGGAGTGAGACTCCAGCTCAAACAAAAAAAAAAAGAAAGAAAATAAAACACCAACTAAGAATGTTTATAATAGCAGATAACATACACATTGAGGTACCCTCAAAATATGAATGTTACATTTGTTCGTGAAATCAAAAGTAGTTTCATGAAGATCATGCTTAAGTGAGTAACACACTTTACAGTTCAGAAATTCAGGTATATAGCCTTAAAATTATTAATTAGATTAGAGATAAGCAAGTGTGGTCTACAAGGTATGGTTATCCATCTGCAAAATACTTAGCTTAGAACTGTATGTGATACACAGCTTGATCCTTCTTTTTATTTAACCAGAATACCCATTTACAGGGGAAAAACGTATAGTCATTTTTTTAATTTACCTATCAGAATGGTGAACTCTTGCATTCTTTACTTTTAAGAAAGTTATTTTAAAATAGTACAACTAACCCCTTTACTAGGTTTATTTTGAAACAGTATTTGGTAATAAAAGAGAAAACAAATATCTTATTTTAAATCACTTACTATTAAATACAGGACATAAAAGAGTCAAATGAGGAAACGTGCAAAAATACAAAGTAGAGATAATGGGGAAGTAGCTTGAGATAGTAATTATGGAGAGTAGATCAACATACTGATGATTTAGAACCTATAGAATGAGGTGATTGAGCTGAGGTGAAGGGTGTGATGAAAGGAGTCAGTAATACAGGCCTGCCACACACTTTTCTGAAAGGTAGATGACAGCGAGGCTGCCACACATGATGGATTTTGTGATGCCTGCAATATAATAGATGATGACTGATAATGGGACATATGTGAACTGAAGGACTATACACCCTAGTCCTGACTACATCTGACCCTGTGAAGTTGCTGTATATAAACCACACAAAGGTTAAAGTGTTAAGCAGGTTTTAGAAAAAGGTAACCAGTCCAGATCTGAATACTTGCATTTAAGATATTTGTGAATATATCTATGAAGTAGATATATTGGTCTGGAATTCAGTCATCGTGTTTGAGCCTTGTATATGTATATTTGTAATCAAAATACAGGTTGTCATTGTAGTCAAGGGATAGAAAAGATTGCTCAGGTGGAATGTGCAGAGTATGAAGAAAAGGAGATCTGAGTACTCCCAAATAACACAAATGCATATGAAATCAACAAAGAAAGACTGTGGGAGGAAAAACAAGAAGGTAGAGGAGGAAGGTAAAGGGAGGAGGAAAGGAAAGAGGAGGGATATGGGGGAAATAAGCAGAATATAGTGTCATAGAAATAAAAAGATGAGAGTGTTACAAGTAAGGAGTGCTTTTCGTTTCTAAATGTTAAAGAGATTATATGAGAAAATGACTCACATATAATATTGTATTTAACAATAAAGAAGATTACTAATGTAAAATCTTGAGTATAATTTTAAAAAGAAGACTGCTATATGTGGTGGAAAAAATAATAGATACAAGCAAAGTAGGTATCTTTTAATTTGGGACTTGTGTGTGTATACACACCTATCATATATGAGGAAGTCATCTTTGCTTCCATTTAAAAGAGTCCAGACATCTGTTTGGTTTTCTTCTTGTTGATAAACAGGAATATGTTCTGAAACCTTATTCTTAAGATGTATGTAGTTTAATTGGGAAGAGATTCCTTGATGATTAACAATGACATAGGAAATATTAGTATATCCTTCTTTCTCCAGTTGTACTCGCAGGTCTTCTAATCTAAAGAATTTGAACAAAATATATAAAATGATTAGTGTTTTTTTCCCTCTTCCTCCTCAATATATTTATTTTTCTATGTGAAATCCTTCTTCTTACTATTTTTGACTGACTCATAACTGTTTTTATATTGTTGAAAAAGACACTGAAACTTTTGTTTTTAGGATTATTTAAAACTTGTGCTGAGTTTGCACAAACTTTTGTTTTTAGGATTATTTAAAACCTTGTGCTAAATGTTTGCACAAACATGAACTCATTGAGCCTTCAAATTAACTCTAGAAAGTGTGTATTTTTAAAAACTTTCTTACAGATAGAGTGGATTCAATAAATCACAAATCAAAAATAGTCAGAAAAAAAGGATGGTTGTGTTTGTACTGAACATGCAGTTTTTTTCTTTTAATTATTCCCTAAACAATACAGTGTAACAATTATTTACTAGAATCTACATTGTATTTGGTATTATGAGTAACCTAGACATGATTTAATGTATACAAAAGGATGCACATAGGTTATATGCAAATACTACAACATTTTAAATAAAGGACTTTAACATCTATGGATTGTGATATCTGAGGAGAGAGGTCCTGGAGCCAATCACCCAAGGATACCGAGGGACAACTATACAGAGAATTCTACCCAATGAATATGTGGTGAATAACTCAATAAATACTTTTGATATATATTTGTTAAATGAACCAAGGCATTTGACAAGTCTTGTGTTCTTTCTACTCTGGCAAAATCTTTTCTGTTTCTTATATTGAAGTATCTGATCAATTTTCAGAGCACGTCTTAGAACATTTCCATTATACAAGTAATACATATTTATAGAAAGTTATAAAATGTAAGTCTACAGAAAGAAGAAAAAAATTTTATAACCCCAGAAAAACCACTGAAAACATTTTAGTGTATATTCCCCTAGTTTCTCTCTTCTCATGTATCTCTATATAAACACATACAGTTTTTCCAAAAGTGTGATTTAATATATTATTTCCATTTTTATTTTATGTCCATATGTGTATATGTATTTAATAGTTTTGCCCTTAAGATATATTAAACCACAAAAAGACTATCTTACCCAGCTGCCTGCAGAATGCACAGATATCAACTGGCTTTAAGAAGAGCAACCACAGTCACTGAACCATTGGAGTTCAGCATTGGATTTTGATCTCTTATGCTCCAGTCTGGGGGTTGCTTACATCGGGAGCTTTGCTCCTGGCTCTCTGTTCCTCCCCAGGGGAGGAGACAGAGAGCCAGGGCAAGCCCCAGGCCTCTCCACATTGCTGGGGTTGTCCTATAAAAGAGAAATCTGTCAGTCTTTTTCATAGATAACTTCACAGTCATAACTATGAATGTCTATAAATCCCGCAAGTGTAATGTTGCTTCCTATAAATACCTGGCCCATGGATTCTGTCTCTATTTGTTGGGCTCATGAGATGGGCTTCCATGCACTAAATCTTCATGTAAATGGGGAGGTAACAAAGAGGGTCAGGGGAGTTTCAAAACATCTCTTAACTATCTGGCTTAGCAAGATACTCTGGTAAGAATGATATGGAAATGTGGCAACCAAGGACTTCTGATCAGGCAACCAAGGACTTCTCTAGGGAAAGATACATGTTTAGAAAAATGTTCAGACTGTGGCTTATATAACCAAGTAATATTCTGCAGACACAACCCAACTTTTATGAGACACATCAAGATTTGACTATTCTTTCTGTCCTCTGCCAATCTAAGGAAGGAAAAGATAAGGGGATTCTACACAAAAATGAAAAGAAACCAGCATAGAAAGAGAACCCAGTAAGACGGTAGCAGCAATGACAATATAACAGCATGAATGTGGCTCTTCAGGTTCAAACCTTCTTTATTCATAAATTTTTTAGATATGTCTTTTTTAAAATTTATTCCTTAAAGTATAGCTTCATGTTACTAGTAGAAGATTTGATGTAAAACTGCCTGCCTTAACACTACTACTTCATCCAGGATAAATATCATCAAGGGGGAAAAAATCCGACAAAGGAGTAATATTGCAAGTCACTGCTCTTTGTACCATTTAAGGCTCACTAAAATTCACTTCCGAATAGTCTATAGGCTCCACTACTTTCAGAAAGTTCCTATGACTAGATAGTACATTCTTGGGTAAAAAGGTGCCCTCTCTGAGCAGAGAAGTTAAAATGTCAAATACCTGACCAGAAATATCACTAAAGCTAGGACTTGCTCTCTCAGCAGAGAGTTACCAAAAAAAAGTGAATTATAGAGAGGTGGTAAAAAAAGGAACACATTCAGCACAGATAAAGAAAAATCCACCCAGGCAATTGAAGTTTATTTTGATGTAAGAATCTGTGGAGAAAGATCAGAACAAAATTCCCAAACTAGGAAGTCAGCACATTTTTAGGCACTGATTTGAGATTTCAAAAAGCAAAAGCATATTGTTTGGAGGGAGAGAGCTAATGATAAGTCACCTGGAGTGAGTCCAGAATTAAGAGGGGAATAAAAAGCTAAAATCAGATTGACCTAGGCTTTAATGCACTGATAGATACAGAATTTTCTTAAACCTGCTTACCTTTCACTTTATTTAACACATCAAAATTCCTACCTGTGTAGGATATTTTGGTAAGAACCTAACTAAAGGAAGAGAGACAAACAGCGACAGTGAGAGTGAGAGAGAGGGAGGGGGAGAAAAGATAAAATTAAATTACTTACTAAGACCATCCCAACTATTTATTCTAACATTTTAAATATTCTAATATTTAAGAGATGAGGATATGTTTGGACTAAATCTAAGAAGTTTCTTTAGGATGATATTTACAATGATAATACAAACACAATTATTTTTACTATAGCTACCATTTATTGAACATTTCTAGAATTATATACAGGTGGTGATAAGCACTTTTATATGTCTTGTCATTTAGTGCCTAAAACAACTATGTGATCATTATCCCTTTTTGCAGTTGAGAAAACTATGGCTAAGACTTTAGGTAACTTCTGTAATCACAAAGAGAATAAGTAAATCACAAGGAATACTGGATTCAAACCAGCTCTGCCAAATCCAAAACATGATGTCTTAGGAACTGAAATATATTGATAGTTTTTAGATAGGTCACTTTGTACTAACTATAGGGTTTTTTGTTTGTTTGTTTGTTTATGCCCTAGGATGACAAAGAGAACAAAAAGTTATAATTAGGCTGAGGCAGAAGGATCGCAGGAGCCCAGCAGGCGAGGCTGCTGTGGCCGGGAGTGGCCACTGCACTCCAGTCTGGGCGACCGAGTGAGACTCCAACTCAAAAACAGCAACAACAACAACAACAATAATAAAATTAGAGCTGTTTTATTTCTTGTCATAATGTCTAGATTTTTCCTATTTTCTAGACTACAAATTCAGTAGTTATAGAACCTTCACATAAATTCATCACTGGGTACCCTTACTTTGCCATAGAGCACAGTTCCAAGTGGCTAAATGGTGAATATAAACAGAAAAACTATTCCCCTCATTTAGGTTTTTGATGAATAAATAAGCCACTGGCAGATGGTAGTGGATGACAAAGTTTGCACTTTCAGATTTTCCTCTGTCGTAATCAATAGGCTGTTCAATTTTTGTTTTCGTAAAATCATTTTTTACATAATAAACCTTTGACTATAATTACAGTTGTCAGCTATATAAAAATAATTGGAATAACAAAATTGAACTTACTGAAAGTTGATCCAATAACAATTGGAAAGTAATTGTATGTTTTACCAAATTTCCTTCTTTTTTGTTACAAAACCTAGATTTGTTGGCCACATACAGACCTACATTTGTTTAAAGTTCCCCATAAAAAGCAGGATATGTAGAAACTTTCTCTATCCTCTACCTCTCAGCTTCAGACCAGCATCTGAAAGCCTCTCATTCACCTGAAAACACTCAACTCCACTTAAACTGCAACATTTGGCATGCAATCACAGACTACTTGAGTAACATGAGTTTTAACTCCTTTAAGAATAACCACTTCTGCACTGTGGATTGAACCTGCTCTATCCCCCTGCTTCCCTTTTTGTTTCTGAAACTACCCACAATATCTCAGGACATTTCTGCAGCTCTGTAGAATGAGCATATTTCAGCTTTTCTTCAAAACTGTGCGACTGTTTTGTTTTCTTTGTGTTCTCACTCTGCATTTAAGAGAGAAATATTTAGATATGAAAATATTGGCTGGGTGATGTAATTCATGCCTGTAATCTCAGCACTTTGGGAGGCCAAAATGGGAAGATTGTTCGAGCCCAGGAATTTAAGACCAGCCTGGGCAACATAGTGAGACCTCGTCTTTACAAAAAATTTTTTTTTAATTTGCTGGGTAAGCAGTCAATAATCTTGCCACTGTACTACAGCCTTGGTAACACAGTAAGACTCTGACTCTAAAATAAGTACACAAATAAATAAGTAAATAAATAAGTAATAAAAAAATAAGAATATATAATATTTCCTGTGTAACATCACAACCTTGTGCAGAGTGAAAGTGTGGATTTCTCCAACTTTCCCTGCTCTCAGCCGTGCAGAAGGCAAGACAGAGGTCAACAAGAACTGTCAGATGTGCTCACTGGAAACTTCACCCGCTACATTCAAGTTCAGACCTTTTTTTTCATAATTTTCATTTTCTTTACTCTTTCCTAAATCTATCCTAAGAAAAAAAAATTTATCACACAACTCTAAAAGAATCAAGTATTGGGAAAGACAAAGTTCCTACTTACACAGCCCCTTCCACCGAGCCTGCCTGCTTTCTCTTTACGTCTCTGGGGCAGCTCCACAAAGCCTCAGGGAGACACTGATATTTATAGTCCTGCTGTTTACCTCAGCCCTCAGCTACAGTCTGAAGTCCAGTGCTCACTCTTGCAGTGACCTTGCAAGTAGCACAAACCCCTACACTATTATCATCAACTTTAAAGAAAAAGCAAGTGCTGCCTTGCATAAAGTCGGGGAAAGTTTCTCACAACTACTCATTTCATCCCTATCCTTTTCAGCCTCCCCAGTATCTAAGATTTAATGGTACAGTCGGGGGCGGGAGGAAGGGCTAAGGGTAAAGAGGGCCTCCAAGTCTTGTTCTTTTCCAAACTGTAATCAGGAAAAACATTTGCTGAGCTAGCGACTTATGCCACTGCTTTTAAAAAAAAGAAAAGAAAAGAAAAATGTCACTGTGTGAAAAATTCACCTGCTGTTTCAAATTATTTTTGTCCCCTGCTGTTAGAGACCAGTGTGGATTGTTTTCTATGTTTATAATTTGAATTGGTATGGGATCCTACAGAACCACTGTTCTTTTCTTTTTCATTTAAAGGAAGGAAATTTTTTAAAAATAGACCTATCTGAGGGAAACCAGACCTTATTTTTACTGTCATAGAAGTCCTACTCTCTGGAAGACCTATGTACCCCACAGACTTTTTAAAGAATCTAGTGAAAAATATTTACAATAAAAGTTAGTGGTAGTAGTTGAACATGGAAAGGGCATGGAAATTTTAAAATATACAAATAAAATAGAAAATTTCTATTTTAAAAAGAGATAAATCCTTTCCAGTAATCCTTGCGAGTCGGTGCACCCATGGTGAATGAGGTAAGGGGCAATGTCAAAGACGTCATCCCTGGATAGTCATAGTTTTTGAGTAAGCCTTACTTTTATTATTGACATACTTTGTTCAAACAAACCCCTATTGATGGCTATGTGCTGGGTACTGCTATACAAGGTACAGAAAATACAGAGACTCAGATGTTATCCTTCCCATCAGGAAACTTCATATCAAAATAGAAGTTTGTCATTTGAAAGCCAAAATCTGTTTACTTGCACTAAGCAGCAGGTATTAACATTTTTGAGTTCCAAATTCTTATGAGAATTAAATTAAAATAATTTCTCCCCAGAAAAACAATGCACATAAACATACTCACTTTTTAAGAGAATATTGTAAAAAAAAAAAAAAAAATCTTTGTACAAAACAGTCCCCTCTGTAGTTCATTTCCTTGACAAACTTAGTCATATTGGTCTATCTGCAGCAGGAAAGCAAGTATTTCACTATCCTTTCTTTACATATGACTTAGCATCCTGCCCCAAAAGGATTCCATCCAAGTATGCAGCTAATTCCAGAGGAAAATACAAAGGATTGTGAGAGTTGAGGCCAGTGTATGTCTAAAACTTCCAGGTGGCAAAAGTAGAAGTTGAGGAACTTGTAGTGTCTGAAATGAATCCAATTAATAACTCTTCTTTTGTGCTGGGCAATATTGAGAATTTTCACGCAAATATTGGTGTGTTATCAAGTCAAATTACATTAAATCAAACAAATCAAACAGATATTTGTTGGCTGCTTACATTAGGTACAATGCTTAATTTTGGAACCACGGAGATTAAAAAATATAAACAAAAAGCCCTATATCTCTTGATCTCAAGGACTTCAAAATCTAAAACCTTGGTCAGATATGTAAACAGAAAAATCACACTGTAAAGTGTAATCATGTCTAGGATAGCTCATGTCTAGGACAAGGTTTTGCTGGAAACTCAGAAATAAAGGTGCATTGAACCCAGCCTGAAGATAGGGTCAATATGATAAAGTTGGTGCAAGTTCAACAGATACTATCTTGGATATTACATTCTACCTACAGAACACACAGCAAACCTGACCACAGTACTGTCTAACCAGTTATTTTTATTGTTTTAATCTTTATGAATGATTAAAATCTCCTGATAGATTGTTCCACCTACCACTCCACAATCAAATTTTAAGATTACTGAAAATGACTAATTGACTATTAAGTTTCACTTTATCATAATGATCTCATCTCTTACAACTTGCAAACCTGGAAGGACCTAGAGCCTTTATACTGCTTTATTCTTCCATCTCCTTATCATTTGTCCCCAGAATGCTCATGCATATATGTAATCAATGTTTGCAATAAGTATTCTCATCATTTTGTAAGTGGTAGGTGATTTCTATGGAGAACAGGAACCTCAGAGTCTGTGAGTCCATGACAAACTTAAAAGAGAAAAGGGGCATGAGTTATGATATTATGTCAATTTATTAGCTAAGGCAGATGATATTGTGGCATCAGTTCGTTAATATTTGTAACGATGATGTCTTAAAATGTTAGAAAGTGAAAGAGTGTTATATGAAGCTCCTAGTACTACATTAGCCCCTGTGGTTTGTTTGTTAGGTGATGTTTTACATAAAAAACAAAGTGAAGACTTTCCCCAAATTGAGGGGAAATGAGTATCTTTTGACTTAAATTATCTTTTCTTCACGTTGCATGTACAAAAAGGTGCCCTAGATGTCATTCTATGAATTATACCATATAAAATATTGTTTGAGTATCCATATTGAAAGATTAGTGAGCCACTAAATATGCAAGGGATGCTTAGGACAAAGCAAGACTTTTTAAATGACCAAGATAATTAAGAACAATGGCCAAAGGAAGGTGTGGGAACACCAACTTAGATAAGAACAGATTTGATCCTTTGAAATTCCCAAAACTGAAATATACTTTAAAGGGAGGTTTTCTTTTCTTTAAGCTCACAGGTTTACAGATCTAGGAGCTGTTTGATATCTCAAACAAATGGAATTAAGGGAATAACTACATACCATTTAAAAACTGGCCATAAAAAAAATTATCTGACCTACGTTGTTTGACTGTAGGTCATAAGATGCCCCTTCTAGAGAAGGTCCTAACCCCTACCAAGAAAAAAGGAATATGTACTCAGGCAAAGAAAAATTTAGACAGGGCTTGCTGGGTTTCCCTACTCAGTCTATTAATTAGATCATACACTTTTTTTTGTCCAATCATATTTCTACACAGCTATCCATATGTTAAACATAATAATAAACAGTTTCCCCTGTATCTTTGAATCTTCATTCTAAAGACTCCCATGTACACTTTGATAAACGTATATGCCTTTTTTCCTATTAATCTGCGTTTTGTTAGTAATTCTCAGTGAATCTTCAGAGGGCAAAGGGGAAGTTTTCCTTTGGCCCCTACACTAATCTTTAAGACACATACTCTAAACTTTACAAGAACATATATGTACGTGTGTGTATATGTTTGTGTGTGCATGTGTACTTGTGCATGATATGCAGTGAATCGCAGACACTGGAGCATGACTCCAGAGAGAGGGTAAGCAGAAGACAAGCACATGAAAAAGATAGACTTCTTATTTTTTTCTTAGCTTTTGGTTACTATAGAATTGATACTTTATCAGATGGCAGGCTTTGAAAGGCTATTAATTCATTATAGGTTTTAATAGTAGCATTAGCTATACATACAAACTTTCTTACTCATCAAATGATACAAGTTTTTACCAAGCTACCTTCACGCTTGGCCTTATGGTCCCTGAAAGGCAGCAGGTTCCTGCCCCCACTCCCACCCCCAACTCCAGGACAAATGCAGGAACACAGTGAGCCAGGAAATCTTTCCCTGCTCAGATTTCTCATAGTATTGTTTTGACGCCTTCCTCTATTATTTGTGTGGTTTTTTTTTTATCACCTTTCAGGTATGAACTCTTAAAGGCCATGAATGAATTTTACTCAGTTTATATTCTCTGCAGCCACCATCACAATACCTGGCCCCAAAATGTTATTCAATATATATCTACGGTGTTTCATTAAGCTAATCTGCTAAAGTTGGCCAGGAATAAGAACTGGAAATTGATATACATCATAGCCAAGGGAAAAAATATAGTTCAAAAAAATCAGAGACCTGTTTTATATCAGTCACTTGCTGTCTAGTGAAATTTGCTTTCTTTACAGCTCTGCTCTCTCAAATAATATTTGCTTCCTTTTATTTCCCAAAAGTGGGAATGTATGGCAAAAATCCCAGGGAATCCCAGCAAGGGAAGACACATTGTTTGTAGTGTCCTGATCACTGTCCTTAGGACGTAGAGATGTTCAAATTCTTTTTTTCCCTTTATTTCAATAGTTTTAGGAAGTACAAATATTATTTGGTTACATGGTTGCATTGTATAGTGGTGAAAAAGTCTGGCTTTAAGAGTACCCATCACCCCACCTATGCACATTGTACCCGATAAAGGGTTTTTCAGCCCTTCACCCCTTCCCACCATCCCCTTTCTGAGTCTCCAATGTCCATTATATTATATTCTATATCTCTGCATATCCTTAGTTTAGCTCCCACTTATAAGTGAGAACATGTGGTATTTGGTTTTCTGTTCTTAAGTTAGTTCACTTAGGATGACGTTCTCCAATTCCAACCAAGTTGTTGCAAAAGACATTATTTCATATTTTTTTTTTATGGTTGAATAGTATTCCATAGTGTATACAGACCACATTTTATTATCCACTGATCAGTTGATGGGCATTTAAGTTGATTCCACATCTTTGCAATTGTGAATTGTGCTGTGATGAACATGCAGACGCAGGCATCTTTTTTTTTTTTTAATAAAGGCTGTGCTTTTTTCATTAACTGAATAAATAGTTATTGGGTATCTAAGTGTTAACATTGTTCTAAACCCTGGATATATAATAGCAAGCAAGCAAACAAACCAAAAAATAGAAGAAAATATGTTCCTACCCATATGGAGTTTATAATCTAATGGTAGAACAAATGTCAATTAGTGGTAAGTAGAAGAGAGTAGAAAAATAGAGAAAGCCTCAGTTCACGGAGTTGGCAAAGACTTCCCTGAGGAAGTAACAATTAGCGGCAGTCGAAATTAATTGTAAGAGTTAAACGGGTGACACCGGAGGCAGAGGAAAGAGCATGTGTAATGATGTATGGTGGCAGGTATGGAGCATGACAGATTGAAAGAGCTAGTGTGTGTGTGTAGATGAGGACTCATTATGTTGCCTAGGCTCCTCTTAAATGCCTGGGCTCAAGCAATCATCCAGTAAAGGGCTAGTTTTAAAAAGAGCCTAGGGCTGGGCACAGTAGCTCATGCCTCTAATCCCAACACTTTGAGAGGATGAAATAAGAGGATTACTTGAGCCCAGGAATTTCAGAC